CACACTCCTCACAGCTAGGCCGCTCCAGCATTAGGGCAACCAGTGTAAACACAAATACAGTTATAATAATATTATTTACAATCAATACAGTTTATAATCATATCATTTACAATCAACTTCTGTACAGTGAACAATAAACAACAACATAATTAACAATATAAAATTACAATATAAAATCCAAAGGGCTCCAATCATGTTGAAAAGGCCCTCAGATGTACCCCCGGAGATAATTTTCGGGTATCTTATCCCTAGAAGTCACAAAAATAGCCTGGGGGCCACATATGGCCCAAAGGACACAATTTGTCCACCCCTGTCCTAGCCTATAGCTATATGGGGGAACCAAAGGAAAAAATATCACTGGGGTATACTTTTGCAAAAGCAGGAGATGAACAACACACATAAGGAATTATCTTTCAGTACTTAGATTTCTGTTGTGTGCAAGCAGGAAAGCATTTCTATTAGGAAAATCGATCTGCTAATTCTTATGCATATGGAAAGCCTGGCTGAATTACATACGTCATCGTGTTGATGGGAAGCTTCCCACCGGAGTGGAAATCATCTATTGGACAGATGGCAAGCTATTTAACCTCAGCAGACTGAAAGCCAAAACCAAGGTTACAACAGCATCTCTTATAGAACTCCAGTATGCTGATGACAACGTCATCTGTGCACATTCAGAAGAAGACCTATAAGCTACTCTAAACACCTTTGCAGAAGCATACGAGAAGCTCGGCCTGTCATTGAACATCGAGAAAACCAAAGTGCTCTTCTAGCAGTCACCAGCCAATCCCTCCACAATGCCAGAAATACAGTTTAATGGTGTAACATTAGAAAATGTTGACCATTTATGATACCTTGGCAGCCACCTCTCCACCAAAGTCAACATCGACACCGAAACACAACACTTCCTGAGCTCTGCGAGTGCAGTATTTTTCCGAATGAAGCAGAGAGTGTTTGAGGACTGGGACATCTGTAGGGATAGCAAGGTGCTTGTTTATAAAGCTATTGTCCTCCCAACCCTGCTATATGCCTGCGAAACGTGGACTGTCTACAGACGTCACATGCAACTCCTAGAACGATTCCATCATTGCTGCCTCCAGAAAATCCTGCAAATCTCTTGGGAAGACAAGTGGACAAACGTCAGCGTGCTGGAAGAAGCAAAGACCGCCAGCATTGAAGCGATGGTCCTCCGCCATCAACTCCGCTGGACCGGCCACATTGTCCGGATGCCCGACCACTGTCTCCCAAAGCAGTTGCGCTACTCCAAATTCAAGAATGTAAAAAGGAATGTTGGTGGGCAGGAAAAAAAGATTTAAAGATGGGCTCAAAGCCAACCTTAAAAACTCTGGCATAGACACTGAGAACTGGGAAGTCCTGGCCCTTGAGTGCTCCAGCTGGAGGTCAACTGTGACCAGTAGTGCTACAGAATTTGAAGAGGCACGAATGGAGGGTGAAAGAGAGAAACGTGCCAAGAGGAAGGCGCATCAAGCCAACCCCGACTGGGACAGCCTTCCACCTGGAAACCAATGCCCTCACTGCGGGAGAAGATGCAGATCAAGCATAGGGCTCCATAGTCACCTACAGGCCCATCTTGGAGGATTATCCTACTCAGACTACGAGGGATTGCCTAAGTAAGTAAGAATTACATACAAACAACACACATACAGAATAAGTTCCAGGAAAAAATGGCCCCCATATGTTGTAAAGGTAAAGCATTATTTTCACAAAATTGTAAAAAGGATGGGACTCACAGACATTTGGAAATTGTAGGGACGACAGTTCCCATCAGCAATAAGCAGTTTGGCTAATGGTGAAAACAACATCCAACAACATCTGAAAGTCCACAAACCAGAAACCTTTGGTCTACAGGAGCTCATCCACCCTTGCTTACTCAAAAAGGAAAACAGGATCTGGGAAGCAGTGGATCTTCCTTATCTTTAGTATTCAAATATTTGTTGGTGGATTAGCTATCAATCTTTACAACTTGCATGATTCAACATAGCCCTTTCGTTGGCTAAACTGCAATTTCCCGCAAGAACTTCCTTCATTCTCATTCATCCTTCACCTTCTACGTGGCAAAGGACTTGGGAAGTCATATTGCTACACAGCACCCAGGGACGGCTCAACCATTACGCAAAGTAAGCATTTGCAGTATAGTTGATTTTGCCCAGGGGCGCTCTTGGGGGAAAATAGACCTTGACATATGCAAGTTGTAGCTACTGGGATGTATAGTTCAGTTACAATCAAAGAGGATTCTGAACTCCACCAATGATGGAATTGAACCAAATATGGCACACAGAACTCTCATGACGAACATAAAATATATATCGGTGATTGGTTTGGGGAGGGGGGGCAAAATAATGTTTGCTTACCGTTGAAAATTACCTAGGGCCGCCTCTGACAGCACTCAAGTATGAATTGAGAATCTCAGCAGAAATGATACAGTCGTTTTGGAAAGCAATGGGAACTATTCATTTCTGTCATCTGAAAACACTCACTGGAACACCTCAGCAAGCGAGAGTCCAGAAGTGGCAGGCTCAAGCCCAGAACCTCAATCAATAGCTGATACCAAGTGAGAAACTTCCCCCTGGGCACACAGAAAACTGGACGAC